TAAGGCTCCCACCCTTGGCCCGCCCCGCCCCTTGGGCACCTGCGAGGGCAGCCCGGCTGCCGGGCGCCTTCTCTCCCCACCGCCGCTGCGCTGCGTTCTCGGTGCCTCGCGAGTCCGCGTACAGCTTTGCACCGTTCGCCCGCGTACCCATTGCTGGCTCGGCCCAACCCTACAGTCCAGTTTTCTCGCCCGTCCCGGGCGGCCGTGCGCCCTCACGGAGGGCTCCACTTCCGCCGGCAGTGTGGCCACGCCTCCTCGACCCTGTTCCTGGGCGGGGCCTTCTGCTGCCCAGCGGGGGCTCCCTATTAGCTCCTCCCCTGGCAGGGGCGGGGCGGCCCAACACCCGAGAGACGACGGGGAGACTGGGTCGCGACTCCCCAAAAAGTAGCAGGTGCTGCATGTCACTAGAAACATCCTGTGGGCCGACCAAGGCTGGCGGACTCGGGTTCCCCTCTGGAACAGCCTCTGGCACACTTCTGCGGCCTCCCGGGTGGGGGCGGGGCTTGCGTGTTTTATTTCCGGATCCCACAGCTACGACACCGGAAGCAGGAAGTGTGAGTTTCGGCAGCGGGAGAAGGGAAGGGTGACCGCAGAAACCGGACTTTTTCGGAGCGCCAGGGCCCGAGGAGTGCTCGCGGCTCGCCGTTCCTGCCCTTCTCACGTCGGACCGACTCTGCTGACAGGTGTGGTCCTCTTCCCGAAGACAGGGTACTATTGGTGGGCGTCCCGCCTCCTCCGAGACACCCCCCGGACGTCCAGGCTTCCCCCTCCTGTTGGGCCGTGGCCCATTTCTGCCGCCTGCTTATAGAGCACCGGCCAAGGCGGCCCGATGCAGGAGGCGAGTTACCTTGGCGGCGACCGGGACTGTTTCCGCCTCTTCCTCTCCGCCGCCGCAGCGGAGTCTGACCACACCCCTGCTTCGTGGATGACTTCTAGTTCAGAGACATTTTCTGCTCATCAAACTTGACTGCATTCGAGGTTGTTAAATTCTTTTAAAAAGGCCCCAAATATAGTTTGGCAGCTACGTATCTCACTTCATGTGCCTCAGTTTGCTCACTCTGCAAAAACGATTAATGTCTACCCGACCTCAAATCGTTTCTGTGACTCAAGGATGGATGAGCCATCCTGGCATGTTCGAGGTACAGCAAGGAGGCCACTGTAACTGGTGCAGAGTGAGTGAGGGGAGAATACTTGGAGAGGAAGCAATGAGGGGCCAGATAGTTCAGGGCTTTGCAGGCCGTGTTAGGGCCTTTGGCTTTTACACGCAGGGCAATGAGGAACTGTGGTAGGGAACAGTGTAGAGGACGGACATGATCGGAATTATCTTTTAGGGTGATCTGGCCCCTGTGGGAAGAACAAACTATAGGGGACAAGGGTAGGAGCAGGGTGACCTGTTAGGACGTTATTGCAGTAATCCAGATGAGTGGTGCTTTGAGCATTTTGTTGTGAAAAATTTCAAAGACGTACAAAAGTAGAAAGAATAGTATAGTAAATCCCATGTCTTCACTGCCCAGCTTTGACAGTTGTCAACTCATGGCCAATTTTGTTTAATTTATAGCCCTCACAATCCTCTTCCTTTGTTATTTTCAATAACAGCTTTATTGAGATATAATTCTCATACCATACACTTCACCCATTTAAAGTGTACAGTTCACTGGTTTTTAGTATATTCAGAGTTGTGCAGCCATCACCACTCTCTCATTCCAGAACATTTTCATGACTCCAAAAAACCACTTGCCTCCTTAGCTATCACCCCATTACCCCATCTCTCCCAGCTCTTAAGCATCCACCAATCTTTCTGTCTCTATGGATTTGCCTCTTCTGGACATTTCATATAAACGGAATCATACAGTATGTGGTCTTTTGTGAGTTGCTTTTTTTTTTAGCGTTATGTTTGCAAGACTGGTCCCATCTTGTAGCATGTGAACGTACTAGATTTTGTTTACTCATCAGTTGATGGACATTTAGGTCATTTCCACGCTTTGGCTGGTGTGAATAATGCTGCTCTGAGCGTTTCTGGGTGCACATGTGTTTTTGTTTCTCTCAGATAGATACCTAGGAGTTCCCACATTATTTTGAAGCAAATTCCTGACACCGTATCATTTCACCTGTAAGTATTTCAGCATGCATCTCTAAGAAAGGATTAAGAAACAACCACAACACCACTATCACACTTAAAATAGTTAACATTAATTGCATAGTGTCATCAGATAGATTCTGGGATACATTACGACAGGATTTCCTGATGCATTAGATGTGAGCTGTGAGACATAGAGAGGAGTCAAGAGGGACTCTGAGGTTTTTGTCACAGTAGCTGGACATCAGCTAACAATAAGGAGGGCTGTGGGTGGAACTGGCTTTTGGGGCCTGTCAGGAGTGCAATTTTAAGGTTAGTTCTGAGAGCACTACCAAATATCCAAGTGGAGATGTTGAGTTTGCTATGTGTCTGGAGTTCAGGAAAGAGGTCTGATTTGGGGCATCAGCAGCGTGAGGATGGGGGTTAAAGCTCTGAGGCTGAATGAACTCTGTACTGGAGTGACTGTAGGTAGAGAAGAGACCCCAGAACAGAGCCCTGGGGCACCACAACATTGTGGGGTGGGTTGGTGAGAAGGATCGAGTGAAAGGATCTGAACAGGAGCAGCTAGTTAGGTGGGAGGAGAACCAGGAGAGTGGGCTTTTCTGGAAGCTCAGGGAAGGATCAGTGGCTTCAGTGGAGCAGTAACAGTTTATTCAGCGTTAAATCTGTCCTCTCTCAGCTCAGGCCTGCTCCTGCAAGCTTGTATTGGGATCAGCCTCCTCCTCCAGGTAGTCTCCCCTTCTTGGGCAGAATTTCAAAGGGCTCCAGGTCGACTTCTGTAGTTCATAAGAGAACGCAAACAGCCCTGCTGTCTTAGGCTGCGAGCCCACCTCCCACTTTCAGATTCCTCAGCACATGTCAGATACTAGGTATCCCCTCAGGCCCTCAGTTCCAGTGAACACTTACCAGGTTCTTTTTTTTTTTTCTTTTTTTCTTTTACACTTACCAGGTTCTGAGTGGTGTCCTTGAAGCCCCTCTTACTAGGTGGATTAATTTCCTAGAGCTTCTGTGACATGACCACAAGCCGAGTGGCTAAGACAATAGACCTTTATCCTCTCCCAGTTCTGGAGGCCAGAAGTCTAAAATCAAGGTGTCTTCAGGGCCTCGTTCCCTCTGCAGGCTCTAGGGGAGCATCCTTCCTGCCCCTTCCAGCAGCTGGTGGCTCCAGGCCTTCCTTGGCTTGTGGCCATGTCATTCTAGTCTCTGTCATCACATGGCCTTCTCCGTGTCTGTTTCTCTTGTCTCTTACAAGGACACTTGTCATCGGGGGCACCTGGGTGGCTCAGTCGTTAAGCGTCTGCCTTCGGCTCAGGTCATGATCCCAGGGTCCTGGGATCGAGCCCCACATCGGGCTCCCTGCTCCGCTGGAAGCCTGCTTCTCCCTTTCCCACTCCCCCTGCTTGTGTTTCCTCTCGCTGTGTCTCTCTCTGTCAAATAAATAAATAAAATCTTTAAAAAAAAGGACACTTGTCATTGGATTTAAGGCAACTCTGATCCAGGATGATCTTATCTCAAGATCCTTCACTTACACCTTCAAAAAAACCCCTTTTTCCATATAAGATCACATTCACCGGTTATGGGGGTCAGGATGTGGACATATCTTGCTGGGGTCATCATTCAGCGGACTACACGAGGTAAGGGGCCAACATCTTCACTCCTGCTTGGAGGTGTATGTAGCAGGTAGGAGTCACAGCATGCTGACACCTCCCTACAAAAATAATCCTCCCCGTAATTTCCCCCTCTCTTGTGAAATTCTTAACTTCAGTTTACAGCCTGGAGATAGGTCCTAGGCAGAGTTTATAACAAGTGCTGAACCATGGCCTTTCTGACCCCACGTACGGGCCTGCAACTCCCTTTGTAATGAGAGGATATGCCACCTTGTAGATTGAAAAGCCTGTTTTAGCTCCCTGTTACACTTGATAAAGTGCTCAGCATTCTGCTTAAAGTGTGGCCCCAGAACTGCTGCACAGACCACACTCCTTGTCCTGCAAGGTAAGAGAATTCTGCGAGGGTCTCGTGTGACAAGTCTGCTGCCTTTCTCTTCCAGACCCTGACTTGTTGGATGAGCAGGCCCCCCTGGAAGAGTCAGCCGTGTGAGATGGTGCAGCCCAGTGGCGGCCCGGCAGGGGACCAGGACGTGCTGGGTGAAGAGCCTTCTCTGGGGAAGCCAGCTATGCTCCACGTACCTTCTGAGCAGGGTACTCCTGAGAGCTTCCAGCGCTGTCTGGAGGAGAATCAAGAGCTCCGAGGTGAGGAGGGCAGCAGGTGTGCCGAGCGAAACGTCAGAGGTCCCAGCCCTGTTGGTGGGGGAGGCTTCTTCCACTCATCTGTGCCTCTGTTTTTACTGGGTCTGAGGTGGGGGTGCACCTGAGAGCCAGCTAGTGATTCAAAGCCACCCTCCCTTTTTGTTTCAGGTGGGATTCCCTGGAAATGGACTCTGAGGTATAGATTGACTTGCAGGAAGTTTATTTAGAGTTCTGTCAGGACCAACAATGGGGGAAGGAAAGGGACAGGGAAGGGGAGCACAGGGAGAAGCTGGACTGCAGTGCAGGCCGACCCTGCAGGTTGCTCTGTAGCTGGAGTGACCCTTCTGAGTTGTCCCAAGTCAGGCCAGCTGCGGTGGGGCTTTTCTGTCTCCATCCTGATCGGTCCTTAAGCGGCCAACTATCCTGGGAGCGGCTGGCTATTCTGGGAGAGGCCCTGCGGCTCCTGGGAAGGGGGGGCGTGGCCTGCCCTGGGAAGGGGGCGTGGCCTGCCCTGCGACGGACCTGTGGGGGAAGGGCTGCTTTCGGAAAGGGGGGGTGGTTTCTGGTGCCTGTGGTGCGGGTGTGAGCGCGGCCACCGTGGCCCCCAGAACCTTCCCATTTCTGTCTTCACCACGACCTCCCCCACCCACTCACCTGCCATGTCCTCGCTTGTATGGGGAGGGGGGCAGCTTCTTCAGCTCCCAGTGGCCTGCTCCATGCCTCTCAGGTGGTTGGCTGCCCTTGGCTGGCGCACATTTGTGCCCGCCCTGCGTGTGACGACACCCTGGCCCGCCCTCTCTGGCCTTGTAATCATGCTTAGACATCTAGGGGCTGTCCTGGCCACTGCATGGTGTTGAGCAGCATCCCTGGCCTCTACCCACTAGATGGCAATAGCACTCTTGCAGTTACGATAACCAACACTGTCCCTGAGGTCAAATGTCCTGCTGTGTTGGGGTCACATAGAGCTGGCAGCCAGGTTGGGGGAGGGGAGACAGCTCACCTTCCACAACTATGTGTGTGGCCTCTGCTGGTCCCCAGGAGGGTGCTCTGGCAAGAGGGACTTGGGGGAAGAGTGTGGCAGGTTGGCTGTAGAGGGATCACGGCACCACCAGCTTCCCGCCCAGGGAGCTCGGGCTTTAGTGGCAGGTGGAGACCTTGAAGCTGCACCCTCCACCTGTGCTGCGTGAGGCAGATGGCTGCTGTGTGTCAGGCCCTGGGTCACACTCCCAGGGCACTGAAGGTGTCTGCCCCCAGCGATGCTCAGGATTGTGCCTAAGGAGGACGGCGCAGGGGAGAGGACATAGACTTTGCTTGGAATGTTTGGGGGGAAAACATGGAAGTCGGTTGTGGAAGTCATGGAAGAGGTTGTGTGTACCTAGGGTAGGAGTCCATTTATGTGACATGTCCAGGAGAGGTGGATCCAGAGAGAGAAACAGATGAGTGGGTGCCAGAGGCTGAGGGTGATGGGAAAGTGATTGCAAGTGGGTTCAGGTTTCTTTTGGGGGGGGGTGATGGAAATGTTCTGGAACTAGCTAGAGGTGATGGGTGCATAGCTTTGTGAATACACAGAAACCACTGAATGTGTACTTTAAATTAGTTAAAATGATAAATTTGATGTGATGTGAATTTTATCTCAATAAAAGGGGAAGTTGCATATGAGTTGAGGCTTAGGTGGGGGGTTGGGCAGGATTGCAACAGGTGGAGGGTGGAGGTGGGTGAGGGAAGTATGCCTGAGGCAGGAGGCTCCTGTAGAAGGGCCACACTCAGCTTTGCTCCCCTGCAGGGGAGGAGTCACATGGGGACAGTAGAGTGCAGAACGAGTCTATGGAGCTGGGCTCAGAAGCCAGTGCAGTTCTAGTAAAAGAATGCTCCGTCATCAGGGTTTTGACCAGAGAGTGACACGAAGCTACTGCCCGTTGCAATCTTACAGAGTTCTGTAGTTGCAAGAACCTTCGTGTGTCACCAAGCAGTTTTGTCACCCCTCCATGTTCTTCTGCTGCCCGGGGTATCCCTGGGTGTGGGGCTCTCCTTTCCTCAGCCTCTGCTGACTGCCTGGCCTTGGCACATGCTCGTCCTTCAGCCTCGTGAGCGGGGGACTAGCTGTTTCGTGACCACTCGCTGTGCCCAGATCCTGTGAGGTGGCTGTGGTTATCCCCGTTGAACATGCAGATGAGGACAGTGAGGCTCAGGGAGGCCAGTCCCTGGGCCACTCGAAGCCTTCTGGGCCTCCCAGGCTGCAGCCAGCCATGCCACAGGGCACTTTGCCCTGGTGGCCTTCCCTGAGTGTGCAGGTAGCTTCGGGTTTCCTGATTCTGAAGATAATGACTTTGCGCCCCAGGGCGCAGGCAGGCGCACCTTTGACCTGTGGCCAGAATACAAATGAGTTTGAGGAACTTACAGAGAAAGTGACCTTTGGCACATACTTTTAAGCAAAGCTGATGTGTTTGGTATCTCTTCGGAGAAATTTAGGGGCTTTATCAGTAGCATAAATAATTTTGAAAGTGTTACGCAAAATAAGAGGAGGTGTTTCAAAGCCATCTCCACATGCGAGGCCGCATGGTACCGCGGGGACGGCGCCGTGACGGCCCGGGAGGGGCTGGGAGGCCCCCTGCCAAGTCTCAGCTCTCGGCCATCTCCTCTGCCCCCAGATGCCATCCGGCAGAGCAACCAGATGCTTCGGGAGCGCTGCGAGGAGCTGCAGCGTTTCCAGGGCAGCCAGAGGAAGGAGAAGGAGTTCCTCATGCAGAAGTTCCAGGAAGCCAGGAAACTGGTAGAGAGACTGAACCTGGAGAAGCTCGACCTGAGGAGGCAGAGGGAGCAGGCCCTGCAGGAGGTGGAACATCTGAAGAGATGCCAGCAGGTAGCCAGAGGGGCTGGGCGGGCCCTTCCCCAGGAGCTGGGGAGCCAGGGGGTTCTGGAAACCACAGGGATGCCAGTGTTCCCCGAGGGAACCTGTGGTCAGGGCTCCTCGAGAGCACCCTCAGGCTCGATGCTTCACTAGGAGGGCTCGCAGAACTCAGAAGAGCCGTACAACGGCTCCCGGTTACGGTTGTTATGGTCAATTACAGTGGAAGCACCCAGGTCAGAATCAGCAAGGACGCGAGGAGCGTAGGGCCGGGTCCAGGGGAGACCAGGCGTGAGCTTCCCGGTCCCTGGCCGGCGGAGGGGTGCGGCAGTGCCGTTTCTCCCGCAGCCTTGTGTGACAACCCGCACCGGGCACGGCCACCAGGGAAGCCTCCCTGAGCGGCGCTGTCCGGGGACTTCAGTGCGGGGTCGGTCCCGTGGGCCTGGAGCTCCCGCGGGGCTGAGCTCGGAAACTCAGTCTCTGCACCTGCACCGCCCCCCCCACCCCCCACCCCCTACCCCGGGACGTGAAGCTGAGAGGTGTGGCCCAGGGGCCCGCCAGGAATCCCACTGTGAGCACAGACTGCCTGCCAGGGAGCTCGGGGATGAGTGTGCCAGGTTCCTGGGGCGGCCATGACAAGGGACCACAACGCTGGGTGGCTGGAAGAAAGAGAAATGTATTGTCTCCCAGTTCTGGAGGCCAGAAGTCCAAGAGCAGAATATGGGCAGGGTTGGTGCGTTCTGGAGGGTCTGAGGGAGAACCTGTTCCAGGCTGCTTTCCCAGGGGTCCTTGGCCTCCTTTGGCTTGTAAACAAATCACTCCATGTCCCTCTCCGTTGTCTCATCACCTCCCTGGGTGTCTGTATGTCCCTCCTTCTCCTCTTATGAAGACACCAGTGTCAAAGAGAAATACAGCTGGACGTTAGTTAAAGTGGTGAAAAGAGGTTTTATTTGGTAATTACTGACAGCAGGGGAAAGAGCTGAGCTCCATTGTGACTTGCAGAGGTGCCTGGAATTTTCCAGAGGGAGGGAGGAGGAGGAGGAGGGGCTCAAGGGAAAACTCACAAAGGGTCTGTCAGTGGAAATGCGGGAGGCGA